CTATTATTATATATATATATATATATATATATATATATATAATTAATAAAATGGTTCGGATTATATTAAGTTCATAAATATGTTAGTCCAAATAAATTTGTGAATTGATATAATTGAGTTAAAAAATTAAGTCCAATAAATATGGACTTAATTAAAATCTAAATTAGTTAATTTGGGCTCATATTTATTAAGCCCGATTCATTTTTTTCTAAAGGCTCATCTTGACGCTGTGTGTGCAAATGATATGGCATGCCAAGTCAACTAAGAGACCAATAGAATCATGACATGCGTCAAGATGACAAATTCACTCTATAAAATTCACATATCATGCCACTTAAATCTGATTGGCTGAAAGAAATCATGTTCGAATCGTAACTCCCCTATTTTAAAACTATTAATAGAACTCCCCATACTTCAGAAAAGGGATAGAAATTCTAAACAAAACGCTAGAGAAAATTCGTGATACAAACGTCGTAAAATTCTCTATAAAGCTACAAGTTTAAGGGCCTGTTTGGCTATAGATTTCTCAAATGATATTTGGGGAAAAATTGGCAAATAGTGTTTGTCCATACACTTTGTCATTATTTGACAAATATCTCAAATTTTCAAATACTAGTTTTTTCTAGTATTTGGGTCAAATCTTTTTATTGAGGATTTTTAAAAATTAAAATTTTATCCAAAATTTTTATATTTTACAAAAATACCCTCTATATTTGTTGCTTACATTGTATTACATAATTTTTTACGTTAATTTCAAAGTAATGATGAAATATTTTATGAATGATGAATGATAATATGGTTATTGATGAAAATGAGCTCAAAACAACAAAGTCATGTGTTTTACTTCACGATGTATGAAATGATGCTTGTTGCAGTCACTCCAAATTACCACATTATTCTAGTGTCACGGACACTATTTTATTCTAGTGTTACGGACACTATTTGTTATTGTTGTAACAAAGATCCTATTGACTCGTACAATACAAACTTATGGTTAGTTTTGATATTTTTAAAATTTATGGGTATAAATCATATATTTCTAAAAAAGTGAAATATATTTTCCAGATACTATAGCCAAACACATGGTGAAATTTCATCCAAATAATATTTACCAAGAATATTTAAAAATCTATAGTCAAACACTAACTAAGAATTCAAACATTTAAATTCAAAAACTATCAAAATCAAGACTATCTTTTGCTTTTGATACGTCTACGGAAAATGTCTAAAATAAGTAAAATATATTTTAAATTAGCTGAAATATACTCACTTTATTACATGTCTACTTTTAACTTTTACGCATAATTGACATAGTAAATTTACCATTATATCTCTATTAAGTAAATAATTTATAAGCTTCTGATTTTCAAAAAGTTATACTCTAGAGTGATTAGTTTGACTTGACATAAACTTAAAAAAAAATAAATTAAATCTTATAATTTTAAATTAAATTTACATCAAATATATTATTTTAATTCGTCAAAATAAACCGATAATTAGAATAAACTTATGTCATTTATCATATTATTATTTTTTTTGATTTGTTCTCTACAATTATCTAGAGTTTCTCCAGAAAGCTCTCATGTAGTAGAACCTTCTAGTTTTTCCAGCACCTTCTAATAATATTATAAATACCCAATTTAACCTTCCACTTTCTCCATCTTCACTGAAAAAACTTCGATCTACTAACAAAAATCAAATTCAACAAAAGCAAAAAAAAATAAAAAATGAAGGCAGTGGTACAGGAAACGAAGAATGGGAAAGTTTCGATCAAAACAGAGTGCAGAGCAAACGAAGAAGGACGAAAACACATAGAAAAACTGGATCTGGATACTAAAAACGTCGATACTGTCAAGTATGTCGAAAAAAAGTTGACGGAAAAAGGGGTGCAGAGGTTGGAACGGCATCCATCGGATGGGCTGCCGTTAAAGCATGATCCGAAGAAAGGACACGGAGGTAAGTATACATGGGAAGGACCTGATAAGTATAATGCGGATGAGAGAGATCTGAATCATAATGTGAATGAAGAAGCAGAGGATGATGAAGGAGGAGTTATTGTGGGTGAAATTGAAGTAGCAAAATTGGCTGAAGAAGGTGTTGCTAGAATTGAAATTGATCCTAATTTGAAAATTGATTAATCATTTCTTACCTCTTGTGATTTTAGGGGGAAAAATAATTGTTGATTTGTGTTTGTTAATTACTTGTATGTGGTGGAATAATAACTGAACTTTTTCTTCATAAATTTTGTTAGTGATTTTCTTGGTCTATTGAGTTTTAAATTTTTACTCTTTTTTTTTAATTTTATATTTAGATGTAATCAAATGACATATTTGAATTAGATTAGATCTCCTAATCTATTTGTCCTTTTGATTCATAACTCACTTATATTATTAAAGTTTAAAGGGAAAATTATGGGCTAATTAAATTTATATTATTTAATTATTTGTTATAGTTATATATTAATCATGTGGATTGATTTCGAATTTGTATGATTAATCA